TTGGATTCGGTTGTGACATTTCTCAGAGCCATGTTAAGACCTGAGGAATGTTAGCACATCTGTTTCCAGTTATAGAATGTAGATAAAAGTGAGTCAGTAAGAGAAAGTCTTTAGAATTTAAAAATATCCTCATGAGGTTCTTAAGAATTTAGAATCCTTTGAGAAAATCCGCTGACCTGCTAATACCAATAATTTTAGGGCATCTTAAGAGAAATAATAGATACCTGAGCATCTAAAGCATCTCTCTTCGAAAAGCATTTATTAAATGCTTGTCTAAATCAGGAACTGTCAGATTTTGGAAGTATAAAGATCAATGAAACATGATTTTACCCTTGAGGAACTCACAGACTAATAGGGAAGACAGCAGTAAACAGTCAATTATAATTCAGTGTGACCAGCAGCTCGTAGAGGAATGTTCAAGGCACCATGAGAGTGGAGGGCTGGTGTGGGGTGCCCTCTGCTCCACTCTTACATCTCTCAGCATAGTATTCTTTTAGCTCCTGCATATTGCCAGTGTTTAAGTGAAATGTGTTCTAGGCACTGCATGAAGGGGCTTAGGTATGTCATCTCATTTACGTCGGTCAACCTCCTAGAGGCTGGTCCTATCATGGGCCCCATAAAAATGGGGGAAATGGGCAGAGATTGTCATCCTTTAAAAAAATAACTTTTTACATACTTTACAGACATTTTTACTAAGAAGAAATGGCTTAGTATAGGGCAAAAATGCTGGACTAAGCCCCTAAGTATCTGGTGAAGTATATTTTGTCACTTGTAAAATTGAGAAAATATTGCCTTCTTTGTCTACCTTTGTGGATTTCAACGATCTGCGAAGGTTGTGTAAGCATTTGACGAGGCAATGCGTAGGAAAGCCCTGTACAAGAATTACCATCCGCGCAGCCCGTGTGGCTCAGCGGTCCAGAGCCTCAGCCCATGAGCCAGGAGGTCTCAGTTGGATTCCGGGTCGGGGCACATGCCCGGGCTGCCGCGGATGCCCAGCAGGGGGCGTGCGGGAGGCCTCCGATCAGTGGTTCTCGCTGACGTTTCTATCTGGCCCTCTCCTTTCCTCTCTCTGAAATCAATAAAAACATATTTTTAAAAAAATAATTATTAGAAATCTTTAAGAGTCTTTCGGGCGGAAATACTTCTGTGGGTTACAAGGACGAGATGTATCCCCGAGTGGACTCCTGTCCTTTGTTCACGGGTCTTCCTTGTTAGCTGCCCCACCCCCTTCTTGTACCCCTATTTTCTGTTAGCAGGTTTGTTCCCAGTATTTACTGGATGAACTCAACCATTTATACAAGTTATTTTTGTTTAATTAAGGAAAATACTAGCATCTCTTGCAATAACACACCAGCCTTAAGGCAGCTAATTTAAATTCCAATTCCTTTCTGTATGTACTTTTTGCACAAGCATTAGATTTGGGAGTTATTTGAATACCATGCGCTTCTTCAAAATGAAGAGCAGTGACATTGATTCGACCTCCCCTTCATTCCTTCCATGCAAGCTCTAGCGCCCTTGGAAGGGAAGTAACTCCAGCATTTGTTAAATAAATGCAGGCAGCGTCTTTAATCATGGTGGTTGACCATTTTCTAGATAAGTCGTTGCAGTCTGAAGCCAAACAGGTGTGCACTGTAGTAATTCATCACATGCCCGTAACTCGTAAATGTAGTTGACTGAGGTGAGCGCGGCAGCCGGTCGGCGTGGTCTCAGCAGGTATGAGGCCTCCCTGGAGCGTGTGCGCGGGGTCCACCCGCAGCGCATCCCCCCCGGCCTCCAGGTGCGCGGGGCGGCTGGATTTATTTATTTATTTGGGGGGAATGATCCATTTGG